GAATGGCAATTGAATGCACTAGAACTTAAAATTGCATTGACCATCATGAGCCGTGAAAGGCTTTATCAAGCTTTTGATAGGTAAAATGAGGAGGTGAATTAGATAGTACTCAAGGTAATTGAAGCCCCGTACGTGTTTGTTGGAGTAAGCATTAGAGAAAGTACTTTTATACTCACCTCAATCAAATATTTCTCCGCTAAGAAAATAAAGATGGACCAGATTGCATTCACGAGGAGGATTCAGAACTCCCGGAACATTATTTCTACAGACTTTTGTTGGAGAAGAAAGATATTTGGTGATTTGAAGAATATTGGTTGATAATAATTGGAATGTTTCCATAATTTGTTACATTCTTTCCGTGATTGTTTCATCTATAATAAGGCAACCTTATTGTAATGTGACTATATATGTGTCATTATAACACTTCAGATATAAGTGAATATAATCTTCTCTCATAGATATAGGTTTGCCACACGGTGCCAAACTACGTAATTTTTTGTGTTCTGTCTTATATATATTGAATTCTTCGACTTTTTTCTTCAATAAGTCTTTTCGACAATTTCTCATATGTACTGTTTTGATAAAATATTCATTTAGAAAATGCTGATTTGATTATCTATGCTACGAATCTTTCACATAATTATGTTATGTAGCAAGAGTAATTATCAACCGCACAATTTAAATTCTTGCAAACTAGAACAAAAGATTTCTCGATGTTGAAATCCTACTAGTTGTTCATTGTTTGTGCTACCAATCTAACTTCGTACTAAACTTCACTATCGATTTGATTTTTTTTCACACCAATAGCTTTTGGCTCGTTTTAAATATTGAGAGCTCTCATCAATTTCATCAAATTGTCAACAATTTTAATATGATTTATTCATGATGACAATCTTACATTGGTCAAGGTGAATTTAACTTTTGGTGTTACATCTCTTTCGTAATTAATACTTTAATTGTTAAATAATGATTTTGGTGGATATTGTCAATATGCCTAAATATTTGAACAAGTTTAACCTTTTCTTGACTCAATTACCATATTTCTACCACGTTTGTAAAAGAATGGGACACGGTTTTAGTCTAGAATTCTCTACTTGAAGCCC